CATCCCCAGTAGGGGGTGTGCAGGAGGCAGCTGATCAATGTTTCTCGCTCATTGATGTTTCTAACCCTCTATCACTCTCTCTTCCTCTCTGTAAAAAATCAATAAAATATATTTAAAAAAGAAAAAAAAAGCCCTGGCAGACACAGTGGCTTTCCGACCTCCCAACTCCCGTCTCCCACCCCTCCTGCCCCTGCGAGGTCTCCCCCTTCCTCTGCGAGAGCCTCCCTTCCCTCACTGTCCACACACATAGGTGGACCCACCACTTCTCCCACTGCTGTGCACAGGTGCACCACTCCTGGCCAGTGAGGGCCCTCCCTCCTCCTGTCCACAGTGATTGGTTAAAGGATAGGTAGGTGACACACTCTAGGCTGGTGGGACTCAATCACAAGAATGTGACCGGCAGAAATGAGTCAGAGAGGCTATCATTCCACTGGCCTAAAAGCTAGTCGGACATGAGGCCTGTCTTGGTGATAGTGAGCCCCTGGATCAAGCCATACCTGAAGCCTAACCCAGCCTTTTCAGGAACATAAACCCATCACTTTCCACCCCCACCCCCAAGCTCATTTGAGTTGGATTTCCAGCCTTTGCCCTACTTGTCTGTCTTGAGCTTGAGGCCTTCTGCAGCTCTGACCACCCTCAGCCCAGCTGGAAACACACATACCATGAGAACAGCAAAGTAGCTGAGGTGGTTGCAGCGACAGAGCACCTGGGAAGGTGAGGGCTGCTCTGTGCGACAGCCCTCGGGGCTCCAGAGCCCCCAGTGGTGCTTGCTGGCTCCCTCCTTCCAGAAGACACAGGTCACGTTGTAGCCTTCCTAAGGGGAGATGCCGGAGTTGGGTGCATCCAAGGGGTCCAGGGGAGGGGTCAGGGTCCGGAAATCGTGGGGGCCAAAGATGACTCGACTGCATCCTTGTCAACCTTTTACCAGGGACCGGCTGGGCTTTGCCATCAGGCAGACCCAGATTCTAGCCCCGCCTCCACCACGGACTCTAAGAGTGACTTGGGCAAGTCACATAGGTTCTCTGAGCCTCAGTTTATTCATCTGCAAAATGGGACCATGTATACCAAGTCATAGGATAGTGGAAAAATTAAAGGCAATGAGGAATCTTGAGTGCCCAGCTCTGGCGTATACAGTTGGTGCTCTATAATCAACTGTTCCCTTCTGCCTCCTCCCTGTGGGGAGTAACAGTGGTCCAGAGCCTTCCCAGTGTGGGGGAGAGAGATTCGTCCACAGGCAACCATGACACCAAGCCATGTGGGTGGGGGGTGGGGGATATGACACAGACGGTGCCATGGAAAACCACAGAAGGGGCAGAGGAGTCCTGAGGAGGCAAGGGACGATTAGGGCACTGAGGCCTTGGAGGACATGCTGGGTGACAACAGGAGTGGAGGGGACCACAGGGGCCAAGGCCCAGAGGAATGAAAGGAAAGGATGATGGTGAAATCGAGAGTGCAGAGAAGAGGCTGATGGAAATATAGGGCCGGAGCACCAAGGCTCTGGGGCTTTTCGGAATGCCAGGGACAGAAGAGCAGGGGCCTGCAGCCCTACTTCCTGCTTCCGGTATCAGTGTCTGCACTTCTCTTGAGAACCCACCCCTCCCACAAGGGCAGGTCAGATGAATCCAGCCTGGCCTCTGGGCCATGTGACCCAGGCCTGGCCAATCCACACAGTCCATCCTCCTGGGCACAGTGATGGTTGAGGGATAGACATGTGACCAAACTGGACCTTTAGGACGCCATTCTGGGACCCGGCAAGAAAGACCCTCTGAGAAGAGGGGAAGAAAGTCTGACCCTTCAGCTGCCATCGTGCCACCGAGTGGAGAGCCAAGGCAGGAAACCATTGCTGAGAGATGGAGAGAGACTGAGCCATGATGGCACCATATCAGCCCCTGGATCCAGCCGTGCCTGAAGCCAGCCCTGCCCTGGACATTTCATGTACACGAGCCAATAAGTTATCTTTTGTGCTGGAGTTGCTGGAGTTGGTTTTCTATCACCTGCCACTCAAAGAATCCTGACTAATGCCATGAGTAGAAGCTTCTCTCTCTTATTTCTTTGGTAAGAATTTTCAAAGTGTGATGGATTTAAAACCATTTGTTTCCAAGATGGTCCCGCAGGTTTGAGTTTGGCAAACCCGTGTGCACCAGGACAGTCTTAAAGGGGCAGGACGGGGTGGAAATGGCGATGTCCCCACAGTACCAGGCTTTGGTTGTGCCAGAAGCTGATGTTGATGGGCTCCATGAGGTTGTCCACGTGTTCACTGCCCAGCTGGGCCCCCAGGACATAGTCATTGAGCAGAGATGAGTTGTCATGCTGGAAGGGTGACAGAAGAAGGGCTGACTGGAGGGGACGTGAGGACACCTGGACGAGGTCCCAGAACCCCCCTGCTCCAGGCCCTCCTCCCTGGGTGAGAGGAGCGGCATGCTTTCATATGGCCAACATGAGCCAACCTCCGGGCCTTTGCACATGCCGCCCCCTCCGCCTGGAAAGCTGTCCTCTGACCACCCTCCTGCTCCACCTCCCCTCTGTGTACCCTCCACTTCACCACTATCCTAACTCACTTTCAATGCCAAGGTTAAAGGACACCTTCTCCAGAAGCCCTCCCGGATTGCCCATGGGAACAACCCCGACCCCACCCTGCCTCACCCATCACTTTGCATCTCTATGGTTATAATCAACCTTGAGCTAAAATTAAGTCTCTAAGGTCCTAGTGTAACTGTCAAGATCGAGGGTTCTCTGAGGACAGGGACCTTGGGGCCTTGTTCTGCCTCCTGCCTAGGGCCATGCACATACAGAAGTAGGTTTCTTCGGTCTCATTTGCACATTATTATCACTGCCTCCCACCATTCTGCTAACACCGAGGCCCGGAGAGAGGCCTTGGAGGTTCCGGTTGCACAGTGGGCTGGTCCTTCTGATGCTGGTCCCCACCCAGAGCCCCCAGGAAGAGGCCAGCACCATCCTGCTGGGCCCCCCATGGCACTGACCGGGAAAAACCTGGTGGTGAAGAAGTACATGCAGATGAGACGCAGCTCCCTGCGGCGTGTCCTGCAGGCCTTCTTCGTCAGCTCAGTGGGGAACTGCATGGCGTGCCTGGCCCCGGCGGCCTGCGGAGGGCCAGCGAGGCTGAGCTCGGTTCCCAAGGCCTCCCGGTCAGCCCAACACCTTCCCTGGCCCCCACTCCCTGTGAAGCCCTCCCGGCCTCACCCCGGCATCTCTTTCCCCGGAGCCTCCCCCCTGCAAAACCCTCCTCCCTGGCTGCACCTCCTCCAAACTCGCCGAGATCCAGGTCTTCCCTCCGGGCAGCTCTGGCCTTGCATTTGGGTCACTTGCCTCCCCAACTGGGCCCCCGGAGGATGGAGCTTCTCACCCACCCACCCAGCCAGCACCCAGGCATTCAGCAGGAATCACTCCAGCATCCTCAAAGGAGCCCCATCCCCTGGCCTCTCCCACGGCTGCCACTGCCGCCGCCCACAGCCCTGCAGAAGCAGGACGAGGACACTGACCTAGAGGGGCCACAGATACCCCCATTTCTGTCACTCACAGGAGGAACACCAGCCCCATTTTACAGAAAAGGCAACTCAGCTACTGGGACAGAGCCCCGATGGATGGATCCTGGGGAAAGTTCAGACCTTACACCTCCTGCAGGATTTCTGGGGTGGAGCCCTGGTCACACACCCCCCCTGCCCCCCCGTCCTGGCCATCTCTGACCTGGGGGACGCGAGCCCAGAGCATCGCTGTACAGCGAGAGGCCGGCAAAGTCGCAGCCCAGCTTGAAGGCCAGTGTCTGAATGGTGGACGTCTGCCAGGTCTGGTTGGAGCCCTGGAAGGTGGCATTCAGCAGGCTGTACACCAGACCATGGACGAGCCTGAGGGCGAGAGAGGTGACCAGATCCTGGAATGGGGGTAGGCTGAGAGGGGGTCCAGACAGCCTGAGAGGGTAGGGCTTTCCCCACCCACACTCACGTCACTCCTGCCTGTGGACCTTTGCACACACAGTGTCCCTGGCACACTCTTACCTCCCCACCCCACTCATTTCCTTCTCCTGATTAACTCTGGATCAGGTCCCAGTTTGTCGACACCTCCTCCAGGAAGCCTTCCTTGGTCGCTCCATGTTGACTGATTGAAGTGCCCCATAGTCCCCAGGCTTCCCTGGCCAGTCATCAGCATTGGCCTCTCAGCCAGAGCTGCTCCGCCTTTAGGTCACAGACTCGAGAGACTAGCCTGAGTTTTGGAGCCCCTTCCAAGAAATATGCACAGAGATCCATGATTCTGCACCTGGTTTCATGACACCCATGGTTAAGGGCCCCCAGCCAGACATAAACTTGACGGGGGCAGAGAGATGTGTCTCTCCTGCACCTCCAGAGCCTAGTGTCAGGCACATAGTAGGCCCTCAATGAATGCATGTTGAATAAATGAATTTATAGTCTACACTAGCCAGGCTGGCGTGACTCAGCGGTCGACCTATGAACCAGGAGGTCACGGTTCAATTCCTACTCAGGGCACATGCCTGGGTTGCAGGCTCCATCCCCAGTAGGGGGTGTGCGGGAGGCAGTCAATCAATGATTCTCTATCATCACTGATGTTTCTACTTCTTTCTCCCTCTCCTTTCCTCTCTGAAATCAATAAGTGTGTGTGTGTGTGTATATATATAAAGAGAGAGAGAGAGAGAGAGAGAGAGAGAGAGAGTGACCGGCCAGATTATGATGACCACCCCATCAGTACAATGAAGTGAATTAGTTATGCAAATAATAATAATAATAAAACCTTGAGAGTATTTGCTTAGGAAGTTTTCAATATTCAGTATTTTTGGAAGTGTCAATGAAGTACTGATGGAGTGGTCATAATAATCTGGCCACTCAGTGTATGTATATGTATGTATGTGTGTGTGTATATATATATATATATTTAATAGTCAACACTAGACCAACTTTGGACACTGATTCAAGCTACAAGCGAGGAGTGGGAGGTACAGCTGCCTCTAGGTAGGCGAGGAGGGACATACAACTCACTCGGCAGGATCCGTTGAGGTTGGTCTCCTGGGCCCCTTCTCCATTCTCTTCATCCAGTGCAGGGGTTCATGGGTTCCCTCTGTGGATAGCGGGCCAGACCCCCACCTCAGCCTCTGTCCGGAGCTGCCCCGGCCCCACGGCCTGTGACTCCCCCACCCCGGCTGAGACGGCTGGTTCACCGCGCTGCTGCCCCGGGAGGCCTAAGCCCCCTCTCAATCTCCCCTGGTCCGAGGCGTCCCCTTTCCCGTCACAGCCAGGGGTCTGGGCGAGGCAGAGCCCTCTTACCTTCTTCCCCGTTCTGACACGTCACAAGGCTCAGGCAGAGGAAAAGGACCGCACGGCAATCCATGTCCCGGCCAGGTCTCCTCCACCCACCAGCTCCTGCCCTGGAAAGGGGCGTGTGTCACCACCCAGGTCAGAGGGTGACCTCGGACTTCTTGGGGTCTGGCCTGTCCCAAGGGGGGGACACACAGCATCTTGTTTGATCCCCGTGACTCCTGCCTTTCGCAGATGAGGAGACTGAGGCTCAGAGAGCTCCGCTTGAGGCCGCCTGAAGCCAGGGCTCTGTGAATCCAGAATCCTTGACAAGTTCCTAACGCCTGCCATTGGCAGTTCCGCCTGAGTCACTCGAACCTCCCCAAAAATGGGTTTTCCGGGGGCTTCCCCCACGGCTCTGACCTCACCCGGGGGAAGTTGCTTGGGAGCAAGCAACCCGTAACCCTGTCCAACCCTGTTGTTAACCCATCACGTGATTTTGCGCAAGGATCTAGCCCTCTCCGCCCTCATTTTCCTCGGTTTTAAAATTTTTTGTTGTTGTTAATCCTCACTGGAGGGTATTTTTTCCATTGAATTTTAGAGAGAGTGGAAGGGAAGGGGGAGAGACAGAGAGAGAGAGAGGAACATGGATGTGAGAGAGACACATCAAGTGGCTTCCTGACCAGAACTGGGGATGGAGACTGCAACTGAGGCATGTGCCCTTGACCGGAATCAAACCTAGGACCCGTTACTCCTCAGGCCCTAGCTCTATCCACTGAGCAAACTAGCTAGGGCTCCTCAGTTTTAAAATGAACTAACAGCGCTGGCTTGTTTGGCTCAGTGGATAGAGCGTTGGCCTGGGGACTGAAGGTCCCAGGTTTGATTCCGGTCAAGGGCACATCCCTGGGTTGTGGGCTCAGTCCCCGGTGGGGGGTGTGCAGGAGGCAGCCGATCGATGATTCTCATTATTGATGTTTCGATCTCTCTCTCCCTCTTCCTTCTTCTCTGAAATCAATAAAAATATATATTTCAAAAAAATGAACTAATAAACTTCTGCTTAAGGGCAGCCAATGTATGGCTCTCCTCAGAAGCTCCATGAAAAGGAGAGTAAGTAAATAAAACAGACACCAAGCCACACAGACACGCGATGGGAAAGACAGCGACAGACCAGGAGGCTACCAAGCAGGTGAGAAATGCAGCAGAGCCCAGCACGTCGAACCCGAGTGCCCGCAGTGGGGGGCGGGGGGGGGTGGGGTGGGGGGAAGGGACAGTGGGCAGCCAGCCAGCTCAAGCCTCACGACCTTGCAAGCCCTTGAGAAGCAGAGGCAGCAGGAACCTCAGAAGGCAGGGGTGGAGGGCGAGGCTGAGAGTGGGGTCCTTGGCTGTGAGTCTTTCAGATGACCACCGTGGTCCGCAGCTCTCCTCGGGCCCTTGACTCGCCGGGAGCCTTCCTCACCACACGGCCATCCTCAACCCACCCCAGCACAGTTCTCTCCCGGGAGATGGTGCACAAAGGCGGGTGTCACTGGTACAATGAAGCCATGTCCCCTCCCTGCCTCCTCCTCCACGCAGCCCCCGGGAAACCACAGCAGCCATGGTGATGATGCCCCAACAGGAGAGAAGTCTGCTCTGAACAGGAGAGAAGTCTGCTCTGAAGAGCTGACCATTTCAAGAACAGTATCCTAGAGTTACTGGAGTTTTTTATATATATATATTGATTTTCAGAGAGGAAGGGAGAGAGAGAGAAACATCAATGATGAGAATCATTGATCAGCTGCCTCCTGCACACCCCACACTGGGGATCGGGCCCCCAACCTGGGCATGTGCCCTGACCGGGAATTGAACCGTGATCTCCTGGTTCACAGGTCGATGCTTAATCACTGAGCCACGCCGGCCAGGCTAGTTACTGATGCTTTGGTGTTCCTCGATAAAATGGCCAGGACCAAACTTACGGCGAAGTTTCAGCAGTCACGGAGCCCTGCCAAGCAATGGAGTTTATAGGGCTCCGCTCTTAAAGGGGGTGGTCAGCCAAGGACCGCTAGCTCTTTTAAAACATGCCACCCACTCCCCAGGAGGCTGCTGGAGGATGTGCGCCACCAAAACGAGGGAATAAATCATGGGAGAAGACATAGGGTTCCAGAAACGCCCCAGAGGGGCGGCGAGGCTACTCCTCAGAGAACGGGTGAGAGAAGGCCCGGGGTGATGGCTGGATGGCAGGACGAGGACACATCCTGTTCAGAAGGCAGCAGGCGCCAAGAAGGCTCCAGAAGGCGGCCTCGAAGAATAAAAGAAGGAGGAAGAGAATAAACAGACTATCTAGCGGGTTTGGACACCTAAGCAAATTATTTTGAGAAATGCCCTATAAAAAGCTTGCAAATGAAAAATAAAAATGAGCCATTAATTTCAGAAAAAAACAAGTTGTACAAGGAAGAACATGTAATCTTGCTACACACATTGACCTAATCGGGGATAAAATTTATACAGTCATAATGAAAACACGGAAGGGGAGGTTTCTTTTTCTAATTTTTCTTTTCTTTTTTTTTTAAAATATATTTTATTGATTTTTTACAGAGAGGAAGGGAGAGAGACAGAGAGTTAGAAATATCGATGAGAGAGAAACATCGATTAGCTGCCTCCTGCACATCTCCCACTGGGGATGTGCCCGCAACCCAGGTACATGCCCCTGACCGGAATCGAACCCGGGACTCTTCAGTCCACAGGCCGACGCTCTATCCACTGAGCCAAACCGGTTTCGGCCTTTTTCTAATTTTTCTAATCATATGACAATGATTTCGACTTCCATTGGCGATGTCGCGAGCCACAGGAGAACATCCCCCCGCGTGGCGATGGAGAAAGCCAAGCAATGAACAAAATTACTTTGTGAGCCCTTTGGAGAGCGGCGGGCATCAGGTCACCGAGGAAACTGGCTGGCTTGTGGCCAACGAGCCCTTCAAGGATGAACTGTTTCACCTTTTACAGAACGCAGGGGGGAGAGGAAGTTGCCACAAAAAGAAAAAGAAAAAATAAGAAAACAACTGCTATCGTAATGAATTATTAAAGACTGTGAACTAGACCGGCAGTTTGGAACCCCTGGGGGCCCCAGATACTAGGGGAGTCTATTTCTTCCCACCGTTTTCTACTGGGTGCATATGGGAGGGATGCAGCCGATCTATGTTTCACTTTCACATCGATGTTTTTCTCTCTCCCTCTCCCTTCCTCTCTCTCGAAAATCAATAAAAACACATTTAAGGATAATACGAATTCTACAAAAATTCTTCCAAAAAAAAAAAAAAGACAAAGAAAGAAATAACAAGATGGTAAACATATCCCTTCAGAAAATAAAGAAGGCTGGAACGCTTCCAAACTCATTTTATGCCAATCTTAGTGTGGTGCCCAAAACAGCCATGGGCATCACAAGAAAACCACAGACCAGTACCCCTCATGAATATAAATCAAATCAAAATCAAAATCCCTGCTGGATATTTTGTAGAAATTGACAAGCTGATTCTAAAATTTATATTAAAAAGCAAAGGACCTAGCCTTAGCCGGTTTTGCTCAGTGGATAGAGCATTGGCCTGCGGACCAAAGGGTCCCAGGTTCGATTCTGGTCAAGGGCATGTACCTTGGTTGCAGGCTCCTCCCCAGCCTGGGCCCAGTCAGGGCTCGTGCAGGAGGCAGCCAATCGATGTGTTTCTTTCACATCAATGTTTCTGTCTTTGCTTTTCTCTTCCACTCTCTCTAAAAATCAATGGAAAAATATCCTTGGGAGAGGATTAAAAACAAACAAACAAAAAGGACCTGAAATAGCCAAGACAATTTTGAAAAGGAAGAACAAAGTTGGCATCACACTAGTGATTTCAAGGCTCACTATAAAGCTACAGTAATCAAGATAGTGTGTTCCTGGCATAAGGCTAGACATACAGATGAATGAAACAGAATAGCGTCCAAAAGTATATCCAGATAAATATGATAAATTGAGTTTTGACCAAGATGCAAAGGTAATTTGATGGAGAGAAGATAGTCTTTCCAATAAGTGGTTCTGGAATAAATGGATATTCCATGTCAAAAACTAAAAAGAACTTGGACCCATACGTTGCAGCATATACAAAATTTAACTCAAAATGGATCATAGATTGAAATATCAAAACAAACTATAAAACTTCTTGGGGGGAAAGGAGAAAATCTTTCTGACTTTGGGTTAGGCAAAAATTCTTAGAAATACCACCAAGCGAGGTCCTTTGGGAAATGCAAATAAAGAATCTAACATCTCAAGGGAATTGGTGGGTGACGCATACAAACTTTTCATTCTGCTTATCCTCTGACCCAGGAAACCCATTTTTATGAATTAGAAAACAGTTTGGCAGTTTCTTATAAAACTGAACACGCACCTACCATATGACCCAGCCACCGCACATCTGGGCATTTATCCCAGAGAAATAAAAATCCATGTTCACACAATAGGAACTTCATAGCAGCTTTGTTCGCAATTACCCCACATTGGAAATGCTCCCAATATCCCTTCCATGGGGGATGGTTAAACAAACTGGGGTCCATTCCTGCCGTGAAAGACAAATCAGCAATTGAAACGATGGATACACGCAACTTGGATGGGTCTCCATGGAATTATGCTGACTGTCCCCCCCAAAAAGCCAATCTCAAAATGTTGCATACTATTCGACTCCAGTTAGAGAGCTTTCCTGAAATAACAACATCATAGAGATGGAGAACAGATTAGTGATCGCCAAGGGTTAGAGAGGGTTGGAGGGTGTGAGTCTGCAAAGGACAGCACAAGGAAACCATGCAGTGATGGTTTTGTATCTTGATTGTGGTTTGGGTTACATACGTCATCAAATTGCATAGAACTAAACACACACACGCACAGACAAATGAGTGTGTATAAAACGGATGAAATCTGAATAAAGTGTGTAAATTGTACCAAAGTCCATTTCCTGGTTTTGATATTGTACTAGAGGTATGCATGATATTACCATGGAAGCCCAGCTGGTGTGGCTCAGTGGTTAAGCGTCGACCTATGAACCGGAGATCATGGTTTGATTCCTGGTCAGGGCACATGCCCTTGTTTCGGGCTCAATC